AAAAAAAAGACATAAATCATAGGACCCCATAGATTTCCATTGCTAGGGCCCTGCTGAAGCAGAAATCACAGCCCCAAATTACAAAACACAGGGTCACCATATATTGTGAACGATAGTAAGAGACCCGCCAGGCACGCAATACGTGTCTGTAACCCCAGCACCTGAGGCCAGCCTGGGCTATTTCAAAGAAACAAAACCAAAAACAAAACACACCTTAGCCTTCCAGAGATTAGGGCTATTCAGTAAAGGACCATACAGTAAGTAAGTTTTAAATTCCTAAAGACTGGAAAGTTCTCTCTAGGAGAAAGGAGTGAGGGGGTATTAAAAATGAGAGGGACAGGCTGAGGATATAGCTCAGTGGTAGAGCAGTTGTCTGGCATGTACAAGGTCCTGGATTCAGCCCTAGCACTGCAGGGGGGAAAGGTTTAAAACTGAGAAAGCCGCCAGATATGGTAGCTCACGCCTGTAATTCTAGCATTCAGGAGGCTGAGACAGGAGAATCACCATGAATTCAAGGCCAGCCAGGGCCACAGAGTAAGAAGCCTCTTCAAAAAACCCAAAAGTATTAAAATAGAGAAAGGATAAAACTCTTACTCTGTCTGCTTATTCATCACCCCTTCACTTGGGCTTCTATTATGCTTTAGATCAGGTTCTGAGTCTGAGACTAGAAGGGCTCTGGGGACAGCAAGTTGGATTCTGTCTTAGGAGGATCACATGCATTGTTCCATGTAGTCACGCGTGAGATCTATCCATCCACTCATCCACACACCCACTCGCCCTTCTGTCCATCTGTCTGTCAGTCCGTCCGTCCATCCGTCCGTCCATCTTTCATTGTACAGCACCCCCTAACATTACATGGAGAAAAATCCCAAAAGACCATCTTGTTCATCTTCCGGCCTTCTTATTGGTCAGGGAAAAAAAAAAAAAAAATGAGAGCTCAAAACATGAAAATGGGGCCAGGGATAAAGCTCAGCGGCATAAGAGCCTGCCTGGCAAGTGCAAGGTCCTGAGTTTGATTTCTGGTACCCACCCCGCCCAAAAAAAAACCACCACACATGAAAATGACCTTCCTGCAGTCTCCAAGCAAGTGAGAGGTGGGGCAGACTGAGAGCGCTGGTCTCTCAAACTCTGTCAGCCTTAAGCGCCTGTATCCCCTTCTGCTTTCTGGTGGGCTGTTTGCTCCTTGTGGGGAGAATCCCCAAGGCCCTGTTCTGTCAGCTGATGGTGAAACAGCTGAGAAGTGAAACAGTTACCCGCTCAGGGGTGACGGAGACGGCCGGGAGCCCTGCTTTCTACCTTGTACCCGTTGTGTGTCTGTGTTTTATCTCCGCGTGCAGCCTCCAGCCTCTGCCACGGGGAAGACAGCACATAGCCAGGTCTGACTCTGCCGTCACGCAGCCCCCGGCTCAGAGAAGGTGATCAGGACGCAGGCTGGACGAGCACCTCGGGGTGAGGGAGGAGGCTGGGCTGGGTTCTGGGTCCCTCTGCCTGGAAACTGCCCCTTCCTTGGCTGTGCTCACAACTTCCTGCACCGGAGGGACTGAGGGAAAGGCAGAGGATCCGAGGGCGCAGTCCACCTCCTCAGCAGGAAGCACAGGGAGCGCTTGGGAGGTCCAGGCACAGGGCCACCTCCCCTTGCAGGGCTTTCTCCGCCGGCCTCCGAGTTTGCAGGAGAAGGGCTTGGTCTGACACTTTTATTTTGTTTTGTTTTGTTTTTCCTGTACCTGGAATTGAACTCACGACCTCACGCTTGCCAGGAAGGTGCTGTGCCGCT